CTCTGGGCTGGACGAACCACAGATCTTAAGAAATGTTCAAAATCTTTCAAAGCTTTTAGAACGAGGACATTTCCCATATATTTATGAAAAAACTAAAAACCCCAACATGTGCCTGCAGATTAAATATTTGCTAGTTTGAGAACATTTTAGCATTTTGACATGGAGCGCAATCAAGTTTTCAATATCTTGAACTCATAACAAGTTGAATATCAAAGTTATGCAAGTAGTGAAAAAACAATGTTCATTTTTTTTTATTTAAACAATACATTTTACTTGTTAGACGCTTTTATATGTTTTCACACTCCTTTTCATATTCGCTGCCAAAACCTCCCGAATATCCGGAGCCCGAAAAATGGTATTCGGGGCAGCCCTAGTTAGATAGTTGCGCAGAGTACGCAAATACGAGATTTAAAGAATTTAACCCATTCAGAATCGACATATTAAATAAAAGATATTCTTTGGGCAGAAATGCGTTAATCAAGACTCTTCCTGGGATGTCAGCGCACGTTGAAAACATCAGTAAACTCAGAGCTGCATTTACTCAAATGTAGAAGCTACCGCTGTATTGGAATATCCTTGGAGTTCTTTCAAAATAAAAAAGGCAGGTGTGAAAACGGTCAGGTTAATCAACTGACTAACACACACATCACATAAAACTGTCAAATTAGAGTTCGCCCTCACATTTCAAACCTGTTCCGAGTGTCTCCAACATGTCGCTGCACATTTTAAATCCTAACTATGTGTTAGGCCCAGGAGGAATATTATAAAGCTCATGTAATGGGACAGGTAGAGACTGACACATAACGCAGAGTGTGTGCGTGTGTGTGTGTGTGTGTGTGTGTGTGTGTGTGTGTGTGTGTGTGTGTGTGTCCTTTGTGTGTCGGAGGCTGTTGTTTGACTTAAAGGGAGGGTTTCTGGCAGAGTGAACGACTTAGCTAATGCTTCGGATATTTCGACATGCCACGACACGCTCGTTTTCCTCACACACACACACTGGCCTATCACTCCTGCATTTGACAGCTGTGTGTGTGTCATATGCATGTGTGTGTGTGTGTGTGTGTGTGTGTGTGTGTGTGTGTGTGTGTGTGTGTGTGTGTGTGTGTGTGTGTGTGTGTGTCGTTTGTCTACCTCCGACAGTTTTATTGTAGCGGGGCAGCGGTGCCTTGTGCTTTCTCTTAAGGGGCCTGTTTTCTCTCCTGAAGGATTCAATTAATCTGAGAGGGGACGTGTCCGAGCCACATCTTCTCAAACACACACACACTAAGGGGTCTGTGTGTTGAATACGTATAAACACACACACACCACATTCATTTTAACACACGCAGACACACTAGCAAAGTGGCGTGGAAGACAAATTGTTAAAGGCCAAGACAACGCTGCCCTGCCCCCGAGAGCTTCATGAATTATGCTTACACTCGCGCATATGTGGGGTGTGGGTGTGTGTGTGTGTGTGTGTGTGTGTGTGTGTAAAATTTGAAGGGCTACCACATTTATCTAGCCGTGTAGGAGTGTGTTGTTGTGGTCAGGATAAATCTCTTCCCTCTGCAGAGCGTCTCAGGGGGAAACCCCGGCTCTAACAGCACTAAGCACAATCACATGCTCCCATTCTCATACACAAGAACTCAATCCTCTCATCTACACACACTCACAGACACACACACTCAGCTCTTATCCCTGGAAAAAAAAACTGCTTTCTATCCACCTTAGGGATTGTGCCCACTTAGTTCTCCTTCTCCATTTGTCTTGAGCTGTCTTCATCTTCATTTATTGACTTCCCTTCTCGGCACAACACCTACATTTGCCTCCGCGTCTCACTCCTATCTTCTGCTGCTCCCAAATGAACACTAAAGAAATGTGTGTGTGTGTGTGAGACAAAAGAGCTGAAAAGTTGCTGGTTCAGACGTGTTATCCCTTAAGTCTTCCCCGATGAGGGACGCCGCCCTCAACAACCTTTCTTTCCCCATTCAACCTAAATCTGTTCCTGTGTGGCGCGGTACGTACAGTTGAGGTAATTATCTCTACAACAATGGCCGGTTGATTTAACACAACAGAGAGTCAAACTACACCCAGTTTATTCATGCTTCTACAGTTTCTACCATTCACAACACCTGGGGAAAAAGCTTCTTGTGCACAAGGAGGGCTATGTTTCCCAAAGCAGTTGTTAAATCAAGGGGTCAGCTGATCCAATACTGGCCAAAATCAATGGATATTTGGCGAAAACAAAGTATAATCCATTACAATTCATTAGTCCAAACCGTCTGCATTTACTTTTACAACGAGAGCCATTTTATTTCTATTTCTTTTTGCACTTTTAAGTCTTAAAAAAAAGGCCCCGTTATATTTGTCCCTTCTGTTTTTGTGCATGTAAATGGTCTGCAAAGGCTACAATCCCAAAGTGCCCTACAGAGGTAGTTTCTCCCCCCCACACTCTTTTCTACACGCGCTTCTATTGGCTAGCACACCCACACATTGTACGTGATAGGCTAAGGGGCGGGACATCTGATTGACCAATCACAACAGAGCCAGCCAGCTAACCAATCAGAGCAGATTGGGCTCTGGTTTCNNNNCTTAGAGATGTCCCGCTAGCACACCCACACATTGTACGTGATAGGCTAAGGGGCGGGACATCTGATTGACCAATCACAACAGAGCCAGCCAGCTAACCAATCAGAGCAGACGTGGCTCTTGTTGTTGCTTAAATGGAGAGAAATTAGATATTCTCATCACATGTTACACTGTGTGCATAATCTTGATCCATAGCACACTACACGCCCTTCACAGTGAAATAATAAGCAACCTTTAACATACTGGCTGCAATCATTGTTTTCATTATTGATTAACCTGCATTTTATCTTCTATCTAGATTAATGATTCAGTGTGAATTTCTCAAGAACAGTAAAAAACGTAAAGATATTCAGTCATGCTATAAACAAAGAAAAGCAGGACAAGAGGCTGAAACTGCCATGTTTGCGTGAGAAATCGCTCGAAAGATGATTAAATTAGTGAAGTGATTAGTCTTCTATAGATCACCAATTGTTCAAGGTCTATGTAACAGTACTAGTAGAGTCTCTCGGGCCCCGTCACATTTCAGCGGGTTCCACCTCCGCTGCCAGAGGGAGGACAGATGGCCTCAATCTGCTGGTGGAGGAGACTGGGCAAAGCTCCTCCGGACAGAGGACCATTTACAGCATTTCTCCGTCTATAAACAGTGACTCAGACCTCATCTTGTTTACATAAAAAAAACGGTGCGAATGAACAGGGATAGGTGCTGCTCATGGAAAATGATGTATTTATAGAGTGGACAAGCTGCACAAATGTCAACAAACCCTGTAGTCTCACTAGGCATTGAATACCACACACACACACACACACACACACACACACACACACACACACACACACACACACACACACACACACACACACACACACACACACACACACACACACACACACACACACACACACACAGTTTGCTTTAAGCAGCTGAATCATGCTACACATCGTCTTTAAAACTATCTCTATATAGTGTGTTCAAAAATTCCTTTTCCATTTAATATGGTATTCCTTGCACAGCTAAGGTAAATAATATCCTGATGTAAAATGTTGAAAGCTGTAATCAGCCCTTCATAGTGTATATTTGACAGTCTACAGTCTCTATGTTTGTTTATTGTCTACTCTTCTTCATTCCTACCTTATATGCAATGCCTTGTTTTAACATACTGCTGTGACGAAAACATTTCCCAAGCTTGGATCAACAAAGTCAAATCTTATCTTATCTTAATGGCCAAACACATCAAAACCAATCGAGTTTCTGCAGCCAACACACTCATTTAAAGCACACACTTGATCTCTCTCACTCACTGGTGTACTTAAAGCAACAGCAGGGACACAAACGCAGGTAAAAAGCAGCAGCCAAATGTTCTATAAGAGTGGCTTTTACTCCAAAAACAGGAGGGTGGACCACAGCCATTTTTACCTCTCACAAACACTCCGGGAAATGTTCCCACTAACAGGGTAAGAGGGGGTCGCAACTTTACCACCCCCACTCTCCCCAACACACACACTGCATCTGCTCCCACAGCAATGACGGTGTAATGGTCCACATGCAATCCAAGGCCATTGCACCCTGACCCGCATACTGCTGCAACAACACCCACACCACACATCTTTTTTTAAACAAACTCAGCGGTGGGTTGCCAGGTAAACATTCCCCTAATGCAAAAAGGTTGAGGATCCAAATCCAATACTTTAGCATCAGAAACTTGCCACAACAGCTTTATAAACAGCCACACCTCCTTATGAAATCTACATCTGGTTACATTTCCAGAGGAGCAATGGCCACACAAGCCCTCCTTTAAGCCCCATTTTCAAGCCTCAAGCATCCTTCTTAGGACATTCTGCCACCAAAACCCATCCCCTAATTTTAATGTATAGTAAATGATTTATGTTTAATACAACTGATATTTTATTGGACCCAAGTCAGTGGAAGAACAAACCACTCTGCACTTATATGACAGCCACTCATTAAGATGCATTTCCCCTCTTTTGTATGTAAGAATAGTATGATGTACTTTGCCAAAGACACGTTTCCAGTACATGTTAATTTAATGGTCAATAAAGTATTCTGAATCTAAAAACAAGCTGTGCAGGGAATTTTTTTGTGCTGCGTTATTTCAACTTAGATCATTTTTAATGGATGTGCTTTCGAGACACATTTACAAGCAGCAGGGTTTCTTTTTTAAAACACTCCTCGGTTAGGTTGTCAGGTAATGTTATGCAAAAACGCTTAGGATCGAGATCCAATACTTTGACATCAGAAACTTGCCACAGCTTTATAAACAGCCACACCTCCTTATGAAATCTACATCTGGTTACATTTCCAGTAGATGACCGCACAAGCTGGACATTTTTGCGCAGCGTTATTTCAATTTATATCATCTGATGGATGTGTTTTTCGAGGCAGGGCATTTACAAGCAGTCACACATCATATACTCACTGTGGTGTTGATGTAGGTTAATGGCCGATGGCATGAATTTCCCCGAGTGGAGAGGCGGTGGATGGCCGGGAGAGGGAGGGATCCTCCCGGCTGCAGCTGCTGCTCCGAGGCGGTGAGCCTCCATGGAGAGACCCGCCAACAACGACGGCGGACCGTGGACGGATCGGGGGGGTCCAAAATCTCTGCCATCCATTATCCACAGTGGGGAAAGTTGTGAAAAAAAATAGTCCGTTCGGATATGCCCCCTATTCCCAAAAAAAAGCCTATAATGTCTTTAGTTTTCCAGGCGATTCAGGCTCCTTTTCAGCCATCCTGCTGACCTAAAAAAACAAATACAAGAACACATTTCCTTTATCTATAATGTTAAATAAACTGTTTTAGGTGTTCTCCTGCTTGCAGCGTACAAGCGGTCCATATGTGCAATGACGCAGTTTGGAAAACCACTTCAAAAACTAAACGTAGAGAAAGCTGATCGACAGAATAAGCGTACGAGTTGCTCCTGGTGCATCTTAACTGCAGATCTTAATGCATATTTAACTTAAATCTACAATATTATGATCTAATGTTGGAGTGGCAGCAGCACCCCACCCCCTCTGCGCTACACCGAGCCGATCCGGAGCTTCTCTTCCCGGGGAAACACAGCCAGGAGACGCCGGAGACCAGCTGCTCTCTCCGGCCATGAAAACAAGCCGAAACGCACACGGTCAAATTTTAACAACCTATTCTGCCTTTTTCCGATTACCCAGCTGTTTCCGAAGCAATGTAGGCTATGGGTCGAGTCGCCCTTTAAACCAATACACCATAAATACTGAAAGGGTGCATCAAATATACATTTCAAACGGGTTAAAAATAAATAAGGTTGCAAAAAGCCTGCACTATTAATCAGCGGGCGAGCGGTGTTTTGTTGCCCAGAGAGGACGATTTAGTCCGGGCTGCTTCGCTTTTTTTGGACATGGGTGCTGCCCATGGAAAGAAATCAAAACCAAAACACTTCGGTTTTCAAAAAAAATACCTTTTGGATCTTAAATGTGTAAGATTAAAAACTGTTATTAAGATATAAATATTTGTTTTTTTTATGATAAATCGACAGTTTATTTTATGTTAAAAATCAAAATCGACCCAAGCAAGGCGTATTGAATCTGTTAAATATCGATAAAAAAAAATGTTTAGAAAACCAGGTTATAAGACTAAATCTTCTATTTTAAAAACAAAACACTAGAATAAAAGTTACTTTAAGAAGAACAACAACAAGCTACTGGGACTTTTTCCTAAGACAATGAGACAATTATGGCCTTTTTCTGTACATAAAACCTTTGAATAGACACTAAAACGGTGTGAAATTAGAGAATTTAAGTTTAAAACAACAAGTTAACCTTCAAAGGCTTCAAGCAAACAGCGGAGACTCGTGATATGCAGGCGGGCGGGATCTGAAGAATAGGCTGGTTTAGAAATAACAATAAACCTGTATTTCTCTTTGAGTGAATAATACCACCACCAGAAACAAATATTGCCTCTAAAAGCCCCTCTGAAATACACTGGGGAGGTTAAATTAAATGGTAACCCTTCCTCCGCGGTGTCCCATGCGGCTCGGCGGCGGAGGAGCACGGCTGCAATTCAGCCACGTTTCAAACTTTTTCACGGTTCCTTTAACGCACACATAGACAACTTTTTCGGCGGAAATGTTTACACAAGTAGCATTTTAACACCAATAACAGCTCCTAAAAAATCAAAAATGACGTTAGCACCCCTCCGCGCCCTTTTCACTTACATTTACAGCTCAAAATGTGCTTTAAAAACACCCAAAACTCGGTTATTCAAGGAGGAAAGGGGAAACCAAACAGGGAAGAAAAAAAACGAGCGCTTACTTGAATGTGGAGCTAAAAAAAAATGCTTTCTTAAAATCCGTCCAGGTTGCTGGGAGAAGTGGAGTAGTCCATTACAGGCTCGTCCGAAGGTAAACTGGGGGATAACTGTGGAGGGGGGGGAGCCCCTGACGCGGCCGTAAACTCCTCAGCAATGAAACACAGCATTGTTTTTACAAGCCCCGCCCCTCTCGTCAATACCAGCCATTCAGGGACCAGAACAGAACGTTTCACACAGCTGCGTTCTGATTGGCTGCGAGAAGTGTCACTCAAAGACCTCTGTTTTAAAAATACTGCTTTTTACTCCACTACAATTATTTTAAACTCATAGTTACCAACTACTGTGTACATATAATAACACATGACATTTTTATATGACATAATGCTGTGCTGTATTACCAATATATATGGAAGGAAGGAAGATCTCAAATCATTTATCTATATTATTTAATGTCTTTAAGTGTCTGTTTTAAGCAATTAAAACAATGAATAATTGAATGTTCTATAATAATATAATACTTTCACAACAGCCATTGTTCATAATGTGTACTTTTACTTTAAATACTTTGAGTACATTTAGCAAACACTTCCCACAAAAATGTCCCAACTTCAGATCAATAAAGTACTTCTTATCTTTTCTTCTTATCTTCCGCACTTCTACTTCAGTAACATTTTTGAAGCATTGTATTAACAAGCCCCGCCCATCTGTTTGCTACTAGCCAATCATAGAGCAGCACAGAACGTTTCACACAGCTGCGTTCTGTTTGGCTGCGAGAAGTGTCAATCAAAGTCCTCGGCCTTAAAAAAACAACAACCTGGCCGCTCGCCAGCACTATAAAACCAATTATGGAGCAAGGAGGTTGAGCTGTTTCAAGGTCCCCTCTCCCTTCAAGACTGAGTGATCAAAACAAGCGGTGGGTTTCTTTTCTTTTAGGAGGGGGGGGGCAGTTTCAAGGCGACCCCCCCCCCTCACCCATTTCCACGCTAATTATAATAGGCGCTCGAAGATTTGGAAGTATGGGGGTGTTGTCACCGTTACAATATTACATTGGTTGTAACGTTGTTTGGCCTCAGTGTACCCATTCTTAGTGGATAATAGCCAGTACATCCCTTTTCCATTTAACCCTTCAAAAGGCAAGCGAGGGGCCTGTATGCAAACATCTAAAACTTGAGATAACAATCTCACGATTTCTAAAGGCCCCTTCAATTAATGCTAATTTAATTATTCAATTTCATTTGGGAGGCCACAATTTGGGCGTTGTTTTCCCCATAGGCCAACCCAAGACTACCCATAATGGGTCAGTCATTATGTATAATATAAAGCCTATATTCTTACGGGAAGGAAGAAAAGTGAAAACCCAATAACAGAGATTAGTACTAACATTGGACATGTTCATGCACGTCCATCATAGCCAGGAATACTGAGAAAAAAGTCCGTACACTAACAGTAATCTTTATAAAAATGTTTACACTAAACACCACGACGTGTATGTGCAGCTAAGACGTGCACATTGAGAATATGGCCTTTATTTAATTTATTTGAGTTATATTGTGAGTTATAACCTTGTCTTCTGGCATGTATCACAGGTCTGTTATCATGTCACCCAGGAACGCACCAAGATGTACATTTGTCGTCACCTTAATGGTAGCTGTATTTGTAATTCTCACCCAGGAATAAAGCCAGGCTCTCAGTATGCAAATGCCCATTAACAGCCTTTAGTTGAAGCAGCGCTACATGTCTCCTTGTGTTGAGTTTTAGCGGGGACGCACACACATTTGCATTAGAAGAGGAGGAAAAGTGCCATTATGCTAACATTCAGAAAGGGGTAGCTCGACCTTTGGGGTTCTAAAAACAAAACATGCCCTCCTCTTACGCAGTGCTGTCATAGTTCTTTTTTCTTTCTTTTTTATCATCCAGAAGTTTCCTTTGAGGTTAACCACTCGGCGTTACATTTGCAAAAAAAATGTTGATAAAAAAAAAAATCTCAGACGGTTTCAAACTCCCCTCTCCTACAGTCCCGCCTCCTCACAGTGAGACGGTTTCAAGGAACCCCCATTTGGTAGGTGGAGAGGAAGCGATACGACAGAGGCAGCAGAACCGGACAGGGAGCGGAGAGAGAACAGGAGAGACGCCGAGAAACAGCAGCTTTAGACGGCATGATCGGAGAGAAGAGCCCGGTGTGTGGTTCTCGGTGTTCCGGTCGCTTTCGGTGGTTACACTTCCTTGTTTTCGGTAGGAAAAACAAACGTTCCACCTAGCGAAAAGAAGCAGAAACCTTTTTTTAGGCTATTTGTACTATTACATTATAATTGTATCTTTATTTTTTTGCTATTTTGCGTTAATAAAAAATGGATAGATAGATTTAAAGGGGGAAAGGGAATGTTTGTTCCGAGCGGGACTCGAATCAGGGTCTGCAGCAGCGACCTGTCGCGTCTAACGATACCCAGAGGAGGGGGGTGGGGGGGGTCGGGCCACCCGGCGGAGATCAGAGCTGATGTCCCGGCCCGGGCTCCGAGGGGACCAAGCCAGCCTTTGTTCTCCAAAATCTGTCGGACTGGGAATTCAGACAAAGCCTTGAGATTATTAGGGCCCTATTGTTGCTGTAGTCGTTTCACCCCGCGTGCAGGAGGCAGCCTTCATCTCCTCGTGTCTGTTTTTCTTGTGGTGCTCGCGGGTGTTATCTCCACTTCTAGATGGCTGCTGCAAGAGCATCGTGATGGTGTTCAATACATTTTTATTAAACAGCTTAGTCATGATTCTACGGAAGAGGATTAGAGCCACATGAGAAAAAAATGTTTGGGATGTGACCAAAAGTTTATAAAAAATATCTAAGAATTCAGAGAAAAAAATCATAATTCGGTCTTTTTTCTCAGCAATTTATGGTTGCTTTAATTTAAAGATATTTTCTTAAGTATTTCCAGATTTAGGAAGTAATGGAATACAAGTAACTGGATTACGTATTAGGAAGGTAATCATAGTCCTTTAGCTACAGTTTCATAAAAAAATAGGTAATCAGAATACATCAAATGTGGATTAGGACTAAGGAAACTACAATATATGAACAGATGCAGAATTAACACTACGTTTATATTGTGACACATCGATTAGGTTACTGATTACATGTTTTACAGGTATTTAGTAATTGTAAGGCACTAGTAATCCTCCCTGGCTATTATCTTTTATGACAATGTGACCTTCCTAAATTATTATAGCCTGGCATGGTGGTGAATTTAATACATCCATCAGCAGTTCAGACAAAATAATCCAATAAAAATAACATTACTGCACTCTCCAGCTACAGAAGAACAATTGGTGTTTTACATCCAATTTCCCATCAGCACTGTGATTATTTCTCTGTTAGGTTTATCCCAGTGATGCGTTAGTGCCGGAGCAGATGGGACGTTTGGTAGATTATGTTTTTTTATAGCCTATATACACCAACTGGGTTTCTTTGATGTTGTTCCAAATTAAAGCTCCAATATGTGGGTGGAAAAGAAACACATGATTTATCGCCTGAAACACTGCTGAGTCAATACAAACCACAGTGAAGTTTTCATACGACGACTAACACTGTTTTTATTCTGCAGTCCAAAGATTACAGAGCGAGAACATTTGTTATCCCTGACTCATGTTTTAGTTTTCTTTCATTTCTCCGTGTTGTTTTTCCCTTTTATCAGTCCACATCAAACCTGTCCAAACATCATCGTCGGGTTAATTCTGTCTATCAGCTGAAGGATCAGGTAAATGATTTTAGACTTTCTGAGGCGTGTGGCTGCATTAACCCACAGGGGACGGGGCTACAGCATTGATTAATTCAGCGTTTGGGGGGGTTGTCCGCTCTGGAAAATAAATACATAAATAAATAAACAGAAAGATGTCCCCCTGCATAAGCACCCACCCTTCAAATACACCTCTCACTTTGGCTTCTAATAAAGCCTGAATGTACGACCATGTTAAACATATTTTATACAATATTCGTCAAATGAATGGCAGGCATAAAGATATTTGACGTGACCTCTCACACACCGGTGCGCCTGTAAGTGCTAAATCATTCATCATATCTTGTCTCAGGCACCACAGAAGAAGAAGTCTATATGTTATTAAAGCTGCAGGAACATAAAAGCACTGCGTTACCTACAGCCTTGCCACTCACAATGTATTTATAACTACAGTAAACAGTGTTTTATTTCACTTTACAGTAATGTACAGTATGGCTTCTGTACATATGACAATAATACCGTTGAATCTTGATCGTGACCTCTCCCTTTGGCAGTGTCATGTTTTCTGATTGCATGAAACAAACATACAGAGACAAATATATATGCAATAAACATGAGTCTGAGATAACTGACATCACCACACATCAACCCCCCACTTCAAGCACACGCACACATTCATACATTCAGCTCTCATGGGGTACCTGCCAATCATCAGACAGTGGCTTGCAGGGTTTATTGGTGGATCACCAGGGGGGGGGGTGTTTGCTGGAGGACGACCACATGCACACCACTCTCAAGACTGAATGTGTTAAAGTGGTCAGATGACATGAATGCACAAAGAAAATCTTAAAACGGTCACATGATTATTATTTGTCACCGTGAAGAGAATTCATTTCACGGTTTGGTCGTTGACTCATTTTTGGTTTCACTGGTGGCTTCAATAGAATGAACTGTTTTTAGTGGGTGTGCAAGAAATTATTTATACAAGCCTATGAATCGGTGAATTGATGATGTTTTTTTTGTAGGCCGACCAGGAAATTAGCATTGCAAGGGCTGCCGTGACAACCTAGCAATGGCATTTTCCATTGAATTTGGAATATTGCAAACAAAAAATACATGTTTATGATGCTTACACGTTTTGATCAGCAGGATCATCTCCACATACTGTATTAACCCCACTGTCATTACATTTGAAGTGTAAATGCAATAGGTAAAAAGCTAGGCTATAAAGGGACGACATCAGGGTCACATGACTTCAGGTCACCACCGCTAATCTAAAAGCGGCTAATGTTCAGCTTGATGACATCTAGTCGTCTCATTTAGTCACTTGTTAGCAACCACAGTTTTAAAGACACATAAGCTTCAGACATTCACCAGTGGAGTATTTACTGACTTACTCTTATCAAAACTGAAACACTAACTAGACCTTATTTCTGGTATCCGATCATAAACACGTTAGAAAAAACATTGACTTTAAGACAAGGAACCTAAAAGGGACCAAATGCTTACTCATATCCGGGTTTAAGGAATCATCCCTGAACCACTCTCACGTTGTAATGTTTTGATGTTGAATCTATTGATTCTTAAACACACCGTATTGATTTCCAATGTATAGTTTACATGCATGGATGTCAATACTCTATTAAACTGCAAAGACATGTATCTTGTCCCTGGAAGTACCCTCTTAAGGTGCTATGATGTAACGGGGAAATAAGAACACATACCATTGTTCTTATTGCATAAAGACCTCTTTGAATTTCTCTGATTTTATGGTGGTGTTTTTCTTTTAGATTGATACAATTGCCTTGCTTACAGTTTGGCAACATATTGCGATATAATGAATTCTGACCATGAATCATGAATCTATGTATCGTGGCGCCAGACTCTTTTTAATACACCACCCTAGTTTGGATTATTGCATGTTGTAGTGTCTATATGCAGGGGCGCCGTAAGGGGTGAAAAGTTAGGACGATTCTAAGGGCCGTGACTGACAGGGACCCAAACTATTTTCGAAAATTAAGAAAAAAATGTTTAAGTAACCAATGTGTCATCTTTTCATGGGGCTCAAAATCCCTGGCGGCGCCCCTGTCTGTATGTATTATAATCTTATACTGTATGTACCTCCCACAAATTATAGCTATACCAGGACTGAACCAGCACACTCAATCTAGAACAATAAGCTCTTGTATATAATAACCAAGTACAAAACCTGTTAGAATTCACAGAATCTTCTCTATTTGACTCAATTGACGTCTTCTCACCCCGTCAAACAAACCCAGAGCCAGAAAGCTGCAGTTTGAATCCATTCAAAAGAAATAACCTTATTTTGGGAAAATGGTACCAAAACAAGGACACGCATGGAAGTCAATGCAAAGTGCTTCCCATCTGCCAGCCCTTCAAACCAAGCTTTGGGGGATGGATGACGGGTGGCTTGGGTAGGGGAGTGTGGAGAGGAGGGGGGGAGGGAGGTTTTCAACTGTCTATGCACGGTGCAGTTTGAGCAAATAAGTATTTTTGGTTCCTGTTCGTGTTCCTCCAAATGTGCGGTCACAGCTCTGAGAAATCTTGGGGTTTTTCTCGAGAAACACCACCCTCACCACAGCTGAAGGAAACACTGAGGCATCAACATCATCCTGCTGAGAGGAATACAGCAGCGATGTCTCAGGGACCAGAAACCTCAAGAAGAAAATAGAAAATGCCTTCCTCTTTCTCATTTTATATCTTCTATCAAGTCTTCTGTTACTACAAAACATATATTTCCTAATCATGATTTTGGGAACATTTAACATCTTGTGCACAGAATGGTGGGCTGACAAAAAGGTCTGAAAATACTAAGGAAAGGTAATAAGTATTTTAAGCACAATATAACTAAAGTAGTCATCATGTTGTCAGTCAAATAAAGACATTTCTAGAAGACATAACAAGTTAGATTAAGATGTCAGAAAAAAAATTATATTTAAAATATTTAAATGAACACAAAATGTAAGAATTTGCAATGAAATAACATAATAAAATCATATTTAAAAAACCATTAGACGTCAGAGGAGGACTTTTCATAGCCTCCTGTCAGTCACTGACACAATCAACACATCTGCTGTCAGTCAATCAAACTCCACTGAGACAGAGTGTGTGTGTGTGTGTGTGTGTGTGTGTGTGTGTGTGTGTGCGTGCGTGCGTGCGTGTGTGTGTGTGTGTGTGTGTGTGTGCGTGCGTGCGTGCGTGCGTGCGTGCGTGCGTGCGTTTGGGGGGGTGGAATACAAATGTGTGTGAGATCTCACAGGAACAGGAGCTGCTGTATTTGAACATGATCAATTATTCTGCTCTGGCCTCCTTCTGTCAGCAGTGGTTTCTCTTCGCCTTTCACCCAGATTACAGGCGCCACCTGCTGGAGGAGGCGGTTACTGCATGCTGGAGGGGGGGTGGGGGGATCAGTGACAGAACAGATGGATGAGCTGCACAGCTGCATTCAAAAGGATCCACAAAGGATTTATTTGTCATAGCACAATATTCATAGGAAAATCTTGAGTCTAAAGCTCCTCCGAGGATACAGCATACGATATACTTAAGATTAAAATACATTAGATAATGCAAAAAGAAGCAAAGCAGGTCCTGTTTGTGCATGAATGTCTTTGAACTATACAACAGCAGAGTGAAGGCTGAATTTCTCCTAGGAGACTAAAAAAAGCATGCCTTGCGATACGACACAATATGGTACGAAAACGATACGGTACAATATGATACACTACGTTACAATACAATGTACGAGACAATAAACGGTAACAATACAATACACCTAGACACTATGCGAAAAGATAGGTTATAATTTGATAAGGTACGATATAAAACAAGATGATATTATAGGATACAATATGATACGAAAACATTACGATACGGTACGAAACGGTATGATACATTACGATACGGTACGTTACGATGCGATATGATACGGTACGATACTGTGCGATAGGGTACGGTATGGTACGGTGCGATCGATCAGATACGATAAAATGAAACACGAAACGACGCGATAAAATAGGATAGGACACAACACTTTACGTTTAGCATCAGCTCCATTTGTACATCAACAAGTATAAATATTAAGACAAGAAACAAAGGAACAGATGTGATTCAGTACAAGATAAAATATATGATCTACATAAAAAGCCCTAACCTTGTGATAGATCTTGTTATGTACATGTGAATAAAGAAAAAAAGCTGTAAACGCGGGAACACAGGAGGCCTACTTTTCAGAACAAATTGCCCCCCCTCTGTGTCGCCTCACACACACCTGCAGAGCTCACACACCTGCACAAAACAACCTCCACAAGCACAGGGGAAATGAACTATGGCTGCTCCACACACACACACACACACACACACACACACACACACACACACACACACACACACACACACACACACACACACACACACACACACACACACACACACAAAACTGTTTGCACATGTCAGTGATCATACAGTGATGCAACACACACACACACACACACACACACACACACACACACACACAGGCCAAGCTTCCCTGCCAGTGAGTGTTTTGCTGGCGTGGCAATAAAAGACTATCAGAGGGAAGCAGTCTCAGCAGAATCACAGGC